TGCTTACAAACGTATTTTTCGAAGTAATACAAGAAAGTATGCAATGACAAAGAAACCAATATTTACACGTTAACACACAAACATATACGTAAATTGTCCTTCCCATAATTGATTATTTCGAAATAAAATTAAAGGAAATCAATTGCCTATATAGAGGGGCATTAAAAAGAAACCCAATCAAACTGAAATTATGCCTATCTTTTTTAAATAACAATGGTAATCCAAATAAAAACACATATTGATTTCAAACATATAAAGTTCTCTAATAGGAAAATATGTCGTTGCCCACTTAAGTTCATCTATTGTCAATATACTACAGTGAATAATTCTACGTTGTTGTGGTTCATGTCCTTGTTTGCTATTTTGTATAAACCATTCGGTTTGTATCTTGGATAAACAACTTTCGTCAAGTCTACAAATTTTCATAACATTCCACTTTAAAATATAAAAGGCTGCATTAACTTTATAGCACCTTCTACTATTCTACTATCCGTCACTGGTCCATATTAGGACATGTTTTTGACTCCATATAGATTTCTTGCCACATGTTCGGTATATTGAGGGGATGTAATATGACGTTTGAGGATTTCTACATTAAGGAAATTGCAGGAGTGGGGTTTGGTTCCATACCCTGGGCTTCTCAAAAGTACTAAGGGACATCATTTAGAATTGAGACCTTGTGTGGTGAATGTTGGATTTTGAGGTAATTTTCTTCTTGTAGGTGACAGAAAAATTTCCTGGCCGTCGACATGGCAGGTACAGCTACAGGCGTTCCTTATGAAAAGAAACGTTCTCTGATAGATCGCACCTGTCCATTACTGCATTAAAAAACCTAAAACCAATAAGCGGACTGGAATAGACCGGAAAACTTCAGTCGAGGAGTTGTTGTCTAAAGTTCTTTTCAGGTCCAAATTGAGATCGGTGGCCCAGGGAAGGAAGTGGAAATAGATGAGTCCATTGTCGGAAACCGGAAGTACAATAGAGGTCACTATGTTGAAGGGCAATGGGTTTTCATTGGGTTGAACGGGGAACTAATAAATATTTTATTGTCCCCGTTGAAGACGGTTTGAAGGAAACCCTAACAATAATTTCCGACTTTTGGAAGGTAAGTGTTAAACATTTATAGCCTTAACTACAGTAAAATAGATATTTTTTATATAAAGGCTTACGACACATTGACCCAAGAAGGATATTGGAGAGCACACCAACACCATAGAGGGATTGTGGCGACATTTTATGGAGTCTCTTTCTAGATATAACCGTAGAAAAATCTTCATCGGTTATATGCATAAATGTATATTCATAAGGGAGGAAATCAGAATGGATTCTTCCGAAACCTATATGGTGTCAAACACCAGGGACCCCGAGCATTGTATGGTGGAATCGAATTCCGAAGACGAATCCGATTCCGAAGAGGAAGTATTTCCTGCAAAGAAGATTCGGTATGACACTTAATTTAAATTAGTTCATGTACATTTAAGTTATTTATGTTTTGATATTTAATTTTTTTATTAATAATTTGTTTTTAAAAATGAATAAAAAATTGAATTTATATAATATCTGTTTGGAAAAAATACAAAATTGCGTAGCTGTATTTAGTACCTGTCCATAGGAGAAAGTTTTAAAACCCCGTCCGAAGGAACATTTTTTAACTAAAATGCATTTAACGTGAAAGCATATTGTGTAAGCTTTACAACCATATCTATATTTCCATCAACGACATTTAATTGGCGAAGTTATAAGAATAGGAGTATTCGAAACTTCTAAGGCCCATATCTCGGGATGTATGGACTTTCACCATAAAAGTTATATATTTTTGTGGTCAGGGGAACCTGTGGTTAAAAATTTCAGAAAATTCCGAGATGAGCCCCTAAACTCAACTTGTTCCCATAAAATAAGGACTACTTACGATATAAAAAAATCCAAAATTATTCGAGAGAAGTCTTTAAATTTGACTTGTTCCAAAGGGAGACTATTTATACTCTTCACCACACTGTGGTATAGGGTATTATGTCTTTGTGCATATGTTTGTAACAGATAAAAAGACAGATGTACACATGATTCCTTTTGAGAATATGCATAAAATCACTTTTTAAGTCGATTTATGCATAAAATCATGTTAAATTGTAAACAAAGTACGGGTCGCATTTATGATCCGAATTGGATGAAATTTGGCATAGGTCACTTATTCGGCCCAAGGACGAACCCTATTGAAATTGGGAAAAATCGGTTCAGATTTACATATAGCTCCCATATATATATTTTTACCGATTTAATGTAAACGGTCCCTATATATCTTTCGATTTGCACGAAATTTGGTACAGGCTAATCATTTAGGCCTATAATGATGTCTGCCAAGTTTCGTGAAAATCATAGGATATAGCTCCCATATATAGCTTCGTCCGATTTCATGTAAATGGTGCCCCAAAGTCCCTATATATCTTTTGATTTGCAGGAAATTTGGCATAACGTACTGAATTAAACCTAGAGTGATGTCTGCCAAGTTTCGAGAAAATCGGTCCAGATTTAGATATAGCTCCCATATATAGTTTCGTCCGATTTAATGTAAATAATGCACCAAAATCCCTATAAATCCTTCGATTTGCACGAAATTTGGCATATCGTACTTAATTGAGCCCAGAATGATGTCTGCCAAGTTTCATGAAAATTGGTCCTGATTTAGATATATCTCCCATATATAGTTTCGTCCGATTTCATGTAAATGGTGCCCCAAAGTCCCTATATATCTTTCGATTTGCACGAAATTTGACATAACGTACTGAATTGAGTCTAGAATGATGTCTGCCAAGTTTCGTGAAAATCGGTACAGATTTAGTTCCTTCGATTTCATGTAAATGGTGCACCACATATATCTTGGGATTTGCACGAAATTTGGCATAACGTACTGAATTGAGTCTAGAATGATGTCTGCCAAGTTTCGTGAAAATAGGTCAAGATTTACATATAGCTCCCATATATAGTTTCGTCCGATTTCATGTAAATGGTGCACCCATGTCGCTATATATCTTTGGATTTGCACGAAATTTAGCATAACGTACTGAATTGAGTCTAGAATGATGTCTGCCAAGTTTCATGAAAATCGGTCCTGATTTAAATATAGCTCCCTTTTATTTTAGTTTGATTTTAAGTAATTGACGCGCCAAGGAACCAATAGGAACAAAACGTTCTGAAATTGGTATAACCTATCCTGTGACATTTTTTTGAAATCGCTTAATATTTGGATAGTGCTTCCATATATATTTTCGCCCGATTTCAAGTAAATTGGACATCAAACTCCTCATGTTAGTCAGTTTGACATCAAATTTTGCACAACGTACAAAATTGAGCATAGAATTATGTAGTTGCGTTTTCTAGAAGTACAGACATAGCCCAACGGATTACCTATTTATATTTGTTTGAAGTCGATTTACATACTTTATGGATAGATAGGTAGATTCACATTTAGATAAATATCACATATTTTATTTCATCCAATTTCATGCTAACAGTCCTGTTTAATATACCCATAGTGGTGAAGGGTATCATATAGTCGGCCCCGTCCGACTTTACTACTTTCCTTACTGGTTTTGTTTACGTTTTCAGACGATTAAGTCAAAATTAAGGACCACTTTATAGGGCCATGGTGTCAACCCAGCTTGCAAAAGTCAGCTATTTTTTCTCAAGTCTAATGTCAAAAATTTGGCATTTGTTTACGTTATCATAATGGAAGTCAATTCAGAATAATGGATATTAACAGAAAACTTAAGATGCAGCTAAGTATCCCCTCCCCCCTTTTCCCACCTTTTACTTCCCAACGCGCTTAGGGATATTTAAAAATAAAACAAAGATGCAGCTGATATCCAGCTGGTCGCCCTGGGCGACCTTATTTATAGGCCTTGGTGTCAACAACAATGCGGTTCTCATGCAATCTCTATCACAGCTTATTCGTAAATATTTCGTTATACCACTTTCCACTTTGAGTTCTTCTTTATCGTCCGTTTTGTCTTCTCCCCCATTCGTTAGCTAGTGGAACGTTTTTCAATTTAACAACCGAACAAAAACACGGACTCTGGTTCTGTTGAGTGAAAAAAGAAACAGAAAAGTTTTATTTAATTCCAAATATTATTAAAATATTTGTTTGTTTTTGTTGTTGTGTACATAAACAAAACGGAACGCATTAAAAATCTGTAGATTTGCTCCGGGAAAATTACCTCGACGGTTCGTATTACGTACAAGGGATACTTGGGGAGTTTTGCGAAAAATCCATAATCCCGGAGATATGCATGAATAGTTTTTCCATTCCACATATGAAAAGTGAACGAAAACAAATTAAAATTTTCAAATAAAGAAGTGCTTGCAACAAAAGGACAACCCAGCGAAAAATTTTCTTATCCTCTAATAAAAATTTAATCGAGTCACAAAAATGTATTTCGAATGGGGGGGGATCCATTTCAACTCACATACGAACTCGGCCTTTAATGTCTTCTTTGGAAAAAATACCTTCAATAGGTCCACTTAGGATTCCTGAAAATAATTCGAATATAACATTTGGCTTTTACTTATTATCGATTCTATAATTATAATTTTCTTTTATTTTTTCAGATTTATTTGCCCTACATCAGTACAACGATATCTTTTCCAGCGACAACAAACCGAGTGTAACGCAATTGCCGTCATATTCACTATAACAAAGAGGCCACCTAAAACAACAACAAAGTGTCGAACAGTGAGAAGAATAAATCGCGTCAACGTTCAAAAGTCTATGAACCAAAGTTGATGCTAAGGGCCATTTTAGGGTCGGATACGACCAACGATACGCAGGAGGAGCAGTCTCAGAGTAAGTAATTCTCCATATATTTCCCTGCAATCCTTTATTAATTCGTTCCAAAAATTTCATTGCAGCTGCTTCCTCCTCCCACAGTAGCAGACATTACGGTGGTGGAGGCTCGGGTTGTCGTTCAATATCATCAAGTGCAGTCTTGAGTGGCTATACCGCATCTTCTTCCTCTTCAACGAATAACGATTACGGTACACCGGCAACCGTAGCACCATCCACGGGCACAACACAACAGTGTGTAGCATGCGAAGCTGATAGACATCATCAACTGCAACAGGCCCATCATTCACATCATTCATCGGAGGGAGAGCGTAAAAGTCGACGCAGCAGAATGTCACATTCGAGTTCCAGTTCAATGCGTGGTACCTCATCACGGGGCTGTGCATCGAACAATACCAAATCGGTATCACCCGGTAGCTATAGTTGTAATGCTTTAAATGTGGACTTCAGCACGTACACGGCCACACATCAGTGGTCGAAAATGTTGGAATGTGCTGAATTTGTGGGGGCCAAGTGAGTCAATTTTTTAAGACAATTATTTTCCTTTCAATGATTCCCTTTTTCTTCCTCCTTTAAGACGCTCCAAACACACTGTGGTGGCCTACAAGGATGCCATGTATGTTTTTGGCGGCGACAATGGCAAAACCATGCTCAACGATTTGATAAGATTCGGTGTCAAGGATAAATCCTGGGGTCGCGCCTGTGCCACGGGCACACCACCAGCACCCCGCTATCATCATTCTGCTGTTGTCTATGGCAATTCCATGTTCATATTTGGTGGTTATACTGGCGATATACACAGTAACTCTAATCTCACCAATAAAAATGATCTATTCGAATATGAGTTTCAACGTGCCATGTGGGTTGAATGGAAATTTTCGGGAAAGTATGTATTTGTAGTTGTCATACAAATGTGAATCATATTCCTTAGGATTGTGATTTCTTGAAAACAATTTTATAGAATGCCAGTGCCACGTTCAGCTCATGGTGCTGCGGTATATGATGATAAAATGTGGATATATGCTGGCTATGATGGTAATGCGCGTCTAAATGATATGTGGACATTGAATTTAACAGTAAGTAGAAAACTATTTTTGAGTAATGATAAAAGTCGTAGTATTAAAATTCATGAATACCTTGGATATCTTCGGGTAGTGCCCTTAAAATAATCAACTAAGATGGGCAAAAAGAATAGGAGAAATAAAGTTACGGTGCAGGGAGTTAATAACCCAGTACCGGAGGCAATCGTTGGTAAGACCACAAGCCACGTGTCATGGAGATGAAGCGATTGTGATCCAAAGCATCCACACCAGCAGCTGCTAAGTGTGGATACACTTCCGGAGGAACTGCTACTAAATCTTACCCTGACTGATGGTGAGCGAGCTGGACACTACGGTGATTCTGGCCAAGTACACACAGGAGGATTACTGTAGCATCAACGAAGGAAGTGTAGACCTTGTTGACCGACCGAATTCAAGTCTGGCAACAGGTCCTGTGTCGGAAAACACCAATTCAAAAGCTAATGGCACCGTTTTAAATGCGTGTGATCGTTCTCAATCCAAACGACCAAGAATATGTCAATCATCGGAAATACCACCAGGAACAAATCAAGTCATCTCTCAAAATAGATTTGCATTGCTAGTAGACATTGATGTCCTTTTCGAAACATCTGTGCCAAGAGCACAACCATCTCAACTACTTACCGAATCAAATGTAATGAAGGAATCTGTCGTCGCTCCTAGAAATGTATTCGTATCGAAATCGGTTAACAATCTTAAAGGTTTCTGTCCCCCTATTGTTTTTAATGTAAACGTCAGAGACCTTAATTTGCCAATGAATATTCATCCATGAAGACTGGTCTACATTCAAATTTTTCTGCTTTCGATTATTGCTGAAAAAACTCTCATTGGGAAATAATCCAAACATTTGTACAACTTTTTCTATTTCATTTCTATAGTCCTTCTACTGTTCCTACTTAAGAAGATCTTTAAAATATCTTCTATGCCTAGAAGGTCTTTAACAGGTCTTCATTATATATTCCCTTTTAAAATATTTATTCTATTCATATAGGGAGAAAACCACCAATGGGAAGAAGTAGAACAAAAAGGAGATTGTCCGCCAACATGTTGTAATTTCCCCGTGGCTGTAGCTCGTGATTGCATGTATGTCTTTTCTGGCCAGAGTGGCATGCAAATTACAAATTCCCTCTTCGAATTTAATTTTAAAACATTAACGTAAGTATTTAATCGAAATTCTTTAGAAGACAATAGAACTAGCATTTCTTTATTTTTAATAGATGGCGCCGCATCGGCAACGAAAGTGTTTTACGTGGTGTCAGCTCTCAACCACCATCCCGCCGTTATGGCCACACTATGGTCCACCATGATCGCTTTCTTTATGTATTTGGTGGTTCAGCCGATTCAACATTACCGAATGATTTGCATTACTATGATTTAGATACACAGGTGTGGTCGATAATACAACCTGAACCAAATTCCGATATACCTTCGGGTCGTGTATTCCATGCAAGTGCTGTCATAAGCGATGCCATGTATATATTTGGTGGCACTGTCGATAATAGTGTACGTCGTGGTGACACGTATCGTTTTCAATTCTCCAGCTATCCCAAATGTACACTACGCGATGATTATGGGAAATTTTTCAACGAAAAACAATTCTGTGATATACAGTTTATATTGGGACCGGAAGAGGTGAAAATAATGGCACACATTGCCTTTGTGGCAGCTAGATCGAAGTATTTGCGTACGAAAATTTTGGCAGCACGTGATGCTAGACAACAGCAAATGGAAAAGGTATTTGGTTCGGGCATTGAGGTAAGGACATGTTCTACTTCCTCGAATCAAGGACCTCTGCTAGAAGTTCGTTTGCCCAATGCCAATCCAGAGGCATTTGAAATTATACTAAATTACATTTACACCGATCGTATAGATCTCAAGGAATCATATAATAAAAATATAATTATTCTCATAACGGATATTTATCAATTGGCTGGATTGTTTTTAATGCCGCGTCTAGCTCATGGCTGTATACAGTATTTGGATTATAAAATAAATAAACAAAATGTTTTGGAGGCTCTCTACAATGCTGATAAGAAGAAGTAGGATTTGAGAATAGTAATTCCAAAATAAATATTGAAATAATTCTTTTATTAAAATATTTAGGATACAAATTGTCAAGGACCATTGCATGCAATTTTTGGTTAAAGAGGAAAACTTTACCGATGTCGTCATGTCGAATGAATTCAGCGATTTGGACAAGCCATTACTGGTGGAAATTATACGCAAAAAATTAAGTCCAGGCAAATTAATTGTGGCCGATCCAAATTTAGATAAAAATGTGGGTATGTATGCGTTTCCATGTTAATTTCTTGCCACTAGTTTTGCACTCTATTTATAACGTGTTTATTGTTTTTTTGTCTAAGGCACCACATTGGAGAGTGACATGGCCGTATTTTTGGAATCAACTGGCAAGGAATTTTGCGATATAAATCTTTTACTGGATGGTCATGTTATAACAGCCCACAAATCAATTTTATCGGCCCGAACGCAATATTTTCAGGCAATGTTTAGATCATTTATGCCACCAGATAATACAGTTAATGTAAGTAGAATCATGTCTTCAAACAGAACTTCTATCGTTGCCGCCAATGGTGGGAGAAAAAAATATGAGATCTTCTATAGACAATATTTAATGCCTGCTGTCGGGACTTTGGACAGAATATCTCTAAGAAGTTATCAACAGATATAAGGAGATTATAGGGGACTTATATGGGAGTCTTTCAATATATATTCTGTATACAGAGTATTTTTAAGGTATTCTGTATCCACACATATAGACAGAAGACTTACAGGTCATTATTAATTTATTTTCTTATTAATTTAAAACCATAACGTCAACTTTAAATAATTTTAAGGGGTTTATGAAGTCTCATAGATCAAAAAAAGTTAAAAAAAAAGAATTGAAAAATAAAATCCTGAGTCAAAATCAAACTGCGGCAAAGAAGAAGGCGTTGGCGGCGAGAAAAAGGTCAGGGAAGCTTCAATTCTGGGCATAACGGCTGCAGATAGAAGGGGGAAAGCTATGCAGTCCCTTACGCTAAAAAATGAACCAGAGATTCGGCACCGACCGATAACAAAAAGGCTCTACCAGTGAATTTCGGCAAGTTCGTAGAGATTATAGATTCTAGATTATATAAAGGGTCCAAAGAAATAAAAAAGAATTGAAATCCAAAATGGTAAGAAGGTTTAGGACAGCCCAAACGCAAATTGGCAGTCTTCAAACGGCATTGGAGTAGAAGGGGAAATCTATGGTCCATTTCTAAGTTTGTGTCCAGATATGGCACCGAGAAAAAAAAGGCTCCACCAGCGAATATCGGCATGTTCGTAGAGATTATAGATAGTCTGGATACGACGAAGGATATGCGGGAAAACCAGTGTGTATATGACAATATAAAAGATATAGTGAGGGTCGCATCCGATGTAGTGAAATACGATCCGGTGGTTCGTGATCGGTGGATGGAGATATTGGAGAAGAAATCCAAAATGGAAGGAGGGTTTAGGCCAGCCCAAGAGCAATTTGGCAGCATTGGAGGAGGAGTGACAAAATCTAAGGTAATCGAAGTTTGTGTTCGATATACTATACGAAAGCTATGATAAAGATTTGGAGGAAAAAAGTCGTGACGTGGCGAAGTAACGTACATAAAAAGGGGAACTAGAAGCTGCTCCAAAAAAACAATGGAAGTCGCCAATGTTTGCTTTAAAGAAAAAGTGCAATCGTTGCAGGCAAAGGTTGAAGCGGCTAAAAACAAATCCTTCGAATTAGAAAATCAAGTTCACGAACTTAAAAGTCAATTGGTTGCGACTGCAGAGAAAGCCCAGGCAGTAGAAAAATCATGGGAAAAGAGGACGAGAAAAAAGGACATTTTTGGAAAGAACTGACTCTTTCGGAGAAGACCCGTCGATCAGCAGAGGCGCGACAAGTTGAATAATGCTCGCTAATGATTCCTGGCATTGTGGAGTAATAGTCCGTCCAATGTTGACCGTTGAAAAGAACGATTGTATGGCTAATGCAAATATAACTGTTATGGAAGAGGGTCCGGCTGTGAAGTTGAATCCGGTTAACAAGAAGTATGACCATAAAAAAATATCTGTTGGTAAGTGTGAGACGTAATGGATAAGAAGATTAAGCCGGCGGACAAAGGCAGTCAACACAAGATGGCCGGTGATTATGGATGTTCTGGTCAGGAAAATTGCTGCTATAAATCCTGGAAATGCAGCCGGGAAGTTGCAGCCTTTAGACAATAATGACGACCAATCATAGGAAGATTGTGGTGCCAATAAGCGTGTCGATTATCTTCCTTTGATTGTCATTGTTGTTTACAGGCTCCAACTTCCCGGTCGCGTATGAGCAGATAAGAGCAGAGCGTTTGATCAATATGATGAAGCACATGGATAAAGATTGTATGACAAAGAAAACTGGAAATGCGGTATGGATGTTGAAAGCGGAGGTCACGATTGCTAATTGGACAATGTTCAATGGCGTGGCCAATGAGATTCTGAACCGCCAAGAAAGTGCGATTATAGAAGAAAGAAAGATGTGACAGGGATTTTCGTTTAATAAAGATGTCTCGCTGTGGGTCTTGTGTGTAAATGCACAAAGTCTGAATTAGACGTGCTTTCGCGCCACGGAGAATATCCGTGTAATATACAAAGATTCCTCGTGTATCGTGAGGAAACATGTTTTAAGAAGTCTTCTGTAGGCAGAAGGCTTTTAACCAGAAGTGTATTGACGAAATACTTTTATAGGTATTCATTAGTCAGAAAAACATTGAAAACGTTTATTTGAGGTGTTCTTGGGACTAAACATAAATAAGACTTCTATGAACTGGAGACATTTAAAATTTCTTTTATTAACAACAAATCATTAAAAAAACTTTTGGGGACAGAATATCCAGAAGACAGAAGACAATTTATGGGTTTTAAATTATCTTCAAATGTATCTTTGAGGTATTCTTGGGACACAACATTAATAGGACTTTTATGAACCGAAGACATTTAAAATGTCTTCCGAAAAAATCACTAAAAAAAATCTCTTCTCTGCTCTTTTTTTACAGATTTCCATTGGCGATATCTTACCATCGGTTGAGGCATTTCAATCATTATTACGTTATATATATTATGGCGAAACGAAATTACCACCCCAAGATGCACTCTATCTATTCCAAGCACCACATTTTTATGGTTTATCCAATAATCGTTTACATTCATTTTGCAAATATTCCCTTGAACATAATATAACCTATGAGAATGTCCTCCAAACTCTGGAGGCATCAGATTATACGAAAATTTTCGATATCAAAGAGCATGCGCTCAAATTGATTGTTAAGGATTTTGCCCGAGTGGCGCGGCTACCGAAAATCGCATGTCTCTCGCGTGAATTGCTGTTGGAAATCATACGGGCGGTGGCCGATTCACATGGTGAATTCTTAACACGTATTAGTATTAATACAGATATCTGAAAATTGGTGTTATTACAGCCTGCTTTGCGTTTTCTATTGGCCTGGCTGCAAAGGGGGGGCAACAACAACAATGCTGTTTGACACCGTAAAAAAATTGGGCAGTAGATCAGCAGCAGTAGTAGTATTATTATCACCATTCGTAATATATACACAAACGAAAAGAAAAAACAACACAGTAATGTAGAACAATATTGGCTCGAATGTTGTAATAATTTTGAACAAAAAACGAATATATGTGGTGTATTCATTATTTTTGTTTGTAATTCTCATATATGTGTATTTGGGTGTATGTCTTAAATATTATCTATTAGATTAGAAAATATTTTACAATTTAGTAAAACAATACTCTTATCATTTTCCATTAATTTATTTTAGTGTTTTTCCCTTTAGTTATAAATACATTTTTAATGGGTATATTGGTCAGCGTATATTCCTCCTTTCCATCAAAATCCTCTATCCTAACATTAATCTCTATTATAAACAAAAAAAACAATCTCAAAGCATGTTTTATGTGTAACCTATATCATTATCCTAATATTTAGTTAAAATTTATATGTACGTTTTAATTGGCAGTTTTATTTTATATTAAATATGAAATAAAATGATGGCGTATAAAAATAAAAAATTAATTGATATGATTGTTCAAAAAAAAAAAAGAGAAGTGTTTTTTTTTTAATTGGGACTAATGGGAAAGAGGTTGTGCGGTGTTGCAACATATATCAACTCTTTGGAGTTAATATAAAGTGGATTCAGTTGCCATACGTTTACATTTTCTCCAACATTTAATTACAATTAACAATTGTTGTTTAATTTTAATTTAATTTATTCATTTCAAAGTCAAGCCAAAAAGACTTATATGGCCAGTATACTACAAAATAAACTTAAACAAAATTAAAAATATATATTTTAAACAAAGTTTCTGTATAAAAAATGGAATTCTGCAGTTGTTGTATAATAGTCTTAAATTCTCTCATACATTATACTGTAAAATGCAATACTCTTTTTTGTGATAAAAAAATAATACATGATATGTATAGCCGAACATTATTCTTCCATTCCATTTTGCGTTTTACCAGTTTCCAGTCTCATCAACTGCACCGACTGTTCTAAACATTTGATTTGTTCATTTAGTGCCTGCTGCTGTGAACGTAATGTCAAATTGTAGGGTCTAATCATTTGTGCCGACTCTTGTATATCATCTAAACATTCGAGTAAATCCATTATTTTACTATGCGCATCACCATAGTCTTCGGATGTATTTGGATCGATGCATTCTTCGAATTCACATAGCTGTTTGTATATGCTACCGACACGATTGTTGATACTTTCCACCTGTAAAAGGAATTTAATAAATTTAAATAATGTGAATAAAGCAGTGTTAAAAAATCTTATTTTTATAAAAAGGACCATAGTGCAAGTATACAAATATTTCCCAAATATACCTAAAGGGGATATGTTTTTATAAGAGAGTAGATGTAAGTAGTTTATGGATATCCAAGCGGTCCCTAGAGCCATAGTCTCAATCACATCCAAAATTAACCGACTAGCCTTAATTAAAAATAGCTAAAACGCCAATTTCAGAGGGGAACAAGAAAAATTTCGGGATTTTTTCCTGAAATTTTAATCACAGATTTCAAAACTTCAGAGCTCCATATCGTGGGAAGCATGGACTTTTTTAACGTTTTTCTGTGAACAGAAGATTTCTTAGATGTGTCTCAAATATGACTAGCCTTAAAAATTCTGAAAATGCTTTCCGTCAACGCTGTATATGTGGAAGACGAAATTTATGGCGACGTTGCTGATCAATAAGGTCACTCTAAGGGACACAACTTGTCACCTTATCAGGCTACAGCTAAAGCCTTCTTTGCAAATATACCAATATTGTCTTAGCTTCAACTATACGTCATCTACCGTCTCTATTTTTTAAAAAATTTTCCTCTCAAACGGCCAGGACGATCTCAATGAGTTCGGTGAGCATTGGTGTTTAATATTCTATATCATTGCCTTTCGAAACGATCCCAGACACAAGTTCCATTTGTGCTTACACTTCAAACCAAAGTTTTAAAGTTGAAGGCCCTAACCAATCTGTAGAGAAAGCATATATCTTTAAAATTTATCACAATTGACATTAACTTACCAGTTTCAAATGTTCATCATCCAAAGATTCGTTAAAAGAACTCATCTTTCAATTCCCGGATCCCTACTGGCCCACCTCTACTGGAATAAAGTTTGAATTTAATTCAATTTATTGATTCACTGAAATGAGCAGCGGAACTACATATGATGACGCTATTAACTGCGAAATGACTACACGTCCGTTATTCACAGTAAATGATAGCATATATACTGTTTAGAATTGGAAGACGTGAAAAACGATGCGTATTAAAATTCGTTCCCTAAATCCAGTAACGAATATCATGAAATATTTGTTTCGTCCATAACCATGGTACAATCATGGTATAATTATTACAAGGTAGGGCACAGCTACCTACTGAATACAAATTTTTCTCAAGGTAGCTTGTTCCATCAAATCAAAATACATATTTTGTGTATGTGTGTGTATTGTTTTGCATACAATGTCAAATAAATTCAAAATAAATTGAACATGGTAAAGTTCAATTGAAATGAAAATAAATTTTTTAACACGTTCGTCTGAAAGAAATTACTTTGTTATGGATGAATCAAACATTTTATGGTATTCCCTACTGGATTTTGGAAGAATTCATAATCTTTCATTCATTTTTCAAATAAACACAAACACTTGTTGCGTATATTTATTTTATTTTTGGCAGAAGAGGCCACACATGCATAGTTTTTTTTTGTCATTCACCTCAAGCTGCCCTACCTTGTATTATTGTACCATGGGTACAATCATACAAGATAACTCCAAAACTACAACAAATACAATTGAACAACAACCACATAGAAAATTGTTATTGTATGTAACACAAGTGTCAGTTTGATATGTCGAAAAATGTAAACAAAACATACAAAATATCAATAAATTTTATTTATTGTCAAAATGTATTTGTTTTTTTATTTTCAGAATAAAATTGAAAAACGTGAATGAAAAACTTACAAATTTATAATTTTTTCGCTTTCAGATCTTTCCTCCAATTAGAGATTGCCATATGTAGAAGTAACTCGTACAAAAACGCTAAATATAGCTTTGAAAATTGGAAATTTTTCATTGCAAAGGGATTTGCTGCTTCACATTTTCCCATTAGGAAATCGATGTAAATTGTAAGCCAAAGGGCAACGAACTTCTGTTGCGATTTCTTTGATTTGAAAATGTAAAATTATTAACGCGCGATTAGTTCTATTTTAAATTAATATAATTGGTATTCTCATGCCAATTCATGGTTGTAAAACCGGTTCAGAAAAAAAATGTACACGCCGATACTATATTTTCCATCGTCTGCAGATTTGGGAATATATCAAAGACAAATGTCAATCATTTCATAAAATGGTGTTGTATGGGTCCCTATATTTTCCTACTGGGTCGTTCATTATAAATCACGATTATTACGGTACAATCAAATCAGCTAAGTATTGCAGTTATCTTGTATAGTAGTATGTTTACATATAACCGGATTTTGTTAACCCAGTGGGTTTCAATTGTCAATTCCTTTGCATATATGTCAAATAAATCCCCATAAAGTAGCTTAACCCGCTAAAAAGTTCTATTGTAGATGCCGTTTAATTATACTATGTTTGAATATATTTCAAGAAATTAGAATTTATTTGATATGGTATTCAAAACAATACACACAGTATAATCATGCCATGATATATATTTTGATTTATTAGATCGAGCCACCTTGATAATAAATTGTAATCAATATATGAGCCCTTTACTTCCAATTTGCTAGTCTATCTAAACATTGCATAAACTATATCAGCTGTTAATTTTAATTCGTGTTATCAACACTGAATGTTGGATTCTTCTTCTTATACAGTTTTTCTTGGCGGCAGTTTCATTTAATTCAAAAGTTTCGAATGCAATAGAAGAATTATCTCTAAAAGTTTGTGAATTTATTGTAATTGAATTGAAGGTTGTTTGTGTACATTTTCTTAAGATATTAAATTTTTTTGTCAAATTTAGAATTGTGTCTGCCAATGTAAATTACATTGGTAATGGCGTTGTTAATACACGCTAGTCGGGAGGCGGACCAAAAACTTAAAGCACAAACAAATTACAAACACCTATAATTTATTAATTTTTTGTATTTCACAGTTTAATTCGTTTTATTGGATATATATTAAGAGATTCGAAAGCATGCAATATTTAACAGCATTAAAAATGGGGGTCGACCCAATTGTAAGTGAGGACATGATGATCTCTTGGATACTCTTTCGTTGTTTTGTACAGACTGGTTTTTTTATATTGTCTGTAAATAAATAGGAAATGTACATCAGTATTACCTAAACGATGAAGTCTGATTTCAGAATGCCTTGAAAGAGTTCCAAATTAAAAGATTTAAACTTACAAATATTCATAAATTCAACATCCTATATTTCAGACTGTTGCTCGTGATTTTATGCAAGAATATGCCTTGGCCTCTATCAGTTCTGGTGAAATTTCATTCGAATTGATTAGTAGTTTCATTAATGATACATTGCTAGCTATTGGTATACCCATGCAAATAACACCAGAAGAAGTATGTGATGCCAAAAATATTCAATGGCCCATTCAGGAATTGCAAATCTATTGTTTTCCCTATAATCGTATCGAATTTGTTTGTGTTGAAAAATTCCTTTTGGCCATATGTAATGAAACGGATAAACTATATGAAGAATTTGTAAATGAATTAGATCATAGCTCAGGGGAAAGTGATATAACAACACCTATAGATTTACTAATGGAATTACTGGCGGGGTGGCGTAGTGTCTACAAGCAATTGTTGGAAGAAAATCGTTGGGATTCAGCTAAAAAATTTGAAGAACCATTGGCCAGAATAAGTATTGACTTTTATTGAGGTATATTTTTTATTTTTAAAAACTAATATTTTTCTTTTTAGATATTTGCTTATTGGAAGGTGTACATAGCTTGCGAATGAAATATCGCAATGCATTTGGTCTATTGGATAATATTTGTAATATGCTGAGTATTAGCGCTTTACATGGACTACGGTAAGCAATATGAAATAGGGTAAAATGCGACGCCAAACAAACATCATAGTCACACAAAGTTTTAAATCTTAATCATAAAAAAATCTAGATTAGTGTGTTCATTAGATTCTTATTAGAATTATAATGAACGGGAGGAAATCGACTGTTATTTGACCTATTAATGTTATCTACGCAATCCCCAGCTTATAAAAAATTAAAAAAAAAAAAACAAAACTTTACAAATAATGAGAGACATGTCCTCCGCCTAAATATACATTTACCACTCAATTTGTTATAACTATTTGCTTTATATATTTATTATCAATATTATTAATTTCAGCTATAAACAGTCATGCATTCCAATCATAGAACGTCTACTAAGACTAATAACTGCAGACTTGGACATGTTTAAGGGAATGCTCACGGATTTTTTCCATTATGTTTTAATATGTGAGGTATGGTAATAAGTTCATAAATATGTTTCATTAATTCAAATAATAATATAAAAATGCTTACAGTACACACCAGGCATTTTAAAACTTTATCGAGGATTAAATGTAATGCTTGAAGAAACTGAAAATGAAAATCGTTTGAATATGCTAACTGATGCCCTAATAAAAAGAAACATTTTGGAGATATTCTATACAATCTTAATGACACAGCAGGGTATGGATGTTGCTAAAATGCAAAAGGAAACGCTGAAATTTTTATTAGTTTTACAAAGGTCAGTTATGGCAAGAAAGGTTTTTAAGGTTTTTAATCACTTTCTTTAAATATGTCTTCTTCTCTTTAGTAAACTCATAACCTTGGATTGTTTTTCACGTGATTTTATGGAGGTCATATTAAATCTGGTTTTACAAAATAAAAAGTCAATTTCAAATATGGCATGTAGTCTATATGTGACTATGATGAAACGAAAAATGTCGGACGATGTTATTTTAAAGCATATACTAAAATTTTGTCTTATGCATATGGTGAGTAGCTTTTGCATTTCTATATAATATACACTGAACTAAGGAATCATTTTCAATTCTTACAGACCTCAAAAAGTGAATTTGTGTACTATGTTGGATATTTTTATAATAATTTTGACTATTTTCAAAGTGTTCACCATTTTTTCAACATTATTATGGATTCTCATAATGATGAGGAACTATGTTTACTTAGCTCTCATGTGGTGTTGTTAATATTTGAAAAAAGTAATGAATCGAAGGGTAAGTAATATTCGAAAAATATTACCGAAATTTGCTATAGTGCATTCAGATAAATATTAAATTCTTTTTTTTCAGATGCCGATTCTTTTCAGTTAGAAATAGAGTCAATCATACAAATAATGCCGGAAATTTTCGAGAACATTAACTATGAAAAATGTTATGGCATTTTACTTGGCATGTTTAAATTTGTACAGATCGAAAAACTCCAAAGAGAGGTTTTGTATTAATATATTATATTTTTAACATTATTATATGTTTATTATTTTATTTTTATTATTAAATTTTTATTATTGTATTTTAATTATTATGTTTTAACATCAATTTACTTTTAGACCTTGGATCACATTACTGCCTATGCCAAGAATGTATTTACAAATATTGGAAAATATTATGAATATCCCTTGCTGATGAATATTTTCAATATATTTCACAAATGTATGTCGGTAACACACGAATGGTATCATTTGGAATTGGTAAGCGAACAATTGGCACTGAAATGTGAGGATATATTTAGAAAACTGGAAATGAAACAAGACAAAAAACGAAAGGTAAATTACACAATACTTAAACGCAAATAGTGTATTTGAATAAAAACAGAACAACTTTTCTTTTTAGAAACTTCCCATTGATTTCTATGAAAATTCAGGAGAGACATTGAAACGTATAAGTATTATTGTTAAAACACCTTATGAGACCTTTGATGATATTGATGATATGGCTAATAAATTACGAGAATATATACTGGACAATAATTGTAAAGAGTTTCAAGACAATAACATTGGCAAGTAGAATTGAAAAAGTAATAAAATAAAACTCTCATTTAAAAACACTTTCTTTTTTTCAGATCTATATGCCA